CACCACCATCATCATCACCATCATCGTCATCATCGTCATCATCATTGTCATCACAGTCGCTATCATAACACCTTCATAGTCAGTATCACCGTCACCATCACCGTGACATTGCCATCACCGTCACCATCTCTTCGACAACCACCATCACCGTCATCAGCAGCTATTTTCATAATCGTCGTCGTCCAACATAGACCAGAGAGAAGGCTCGCAGCAGTACGACAGGTCCGTTATGATAAGAGAAAGGCCAACATCACATCTCGGGACAGAGGTGTTAGAGTTGCGGATTGAATGCTTATTGTAGCAGCCCGAAGAATTGCTAGCAGTACTCCTTGGGGTCTTCATTGACATCGGGGCATAACATACCTTCCAAACCCTGCTCCAATTTTCAAGGCCCATATTTCAGAAGTTGGGATGCCCATGCTCTTTGCACGCTCCTGTGTTTTGAGCTTGTCAGACTTTCCATACTATCTCGTGTGTGGCGTCTTTAGCCCCAAGTCCCACAGTGGGTAGTATCCAGATGAAAACAAGGCGGGCTTGAGATTTAGCATTTCTTAGGACAGGGAAGCGTAGTTTGAGTGTTCGGGGGTTGCAACCTTGCCAGCGCATGCTCGTCTGCAGGAGTTCTGCAGATGTCCAGCGCAGTTCCTTCGAAGGCGCCGCATTGCTTTTGCCTTGCGTTCGAGGGTTTAGGGTTTGGGGCCTTGGGTTCAGGGGTGAGGGTTTAGGGCTTGAGGTGCGAACCTGATCGCAAACTTGTTTGCCCGCTGCTGGTCCTACGGCGACAACTACTGCTAACTTTCTCTTGAGGGGTAGGCAGAGCAGGAGGAGAAGGCGGAATGGTGCTTTGGGTGACGGTGCTAGTTAGTAATGGTGATCCATCTGGAAGAGTAATGGCTGCAAGAATGGCAGCTGTCAACTTCAAACATGGCAGCTCATGTCGCAGCAGTCGTGGTAATTAATATCGGTAAGAAGAAAAGTGTGGCTTATCTTCGGCAAGGACACCCGTCCTTGGCAATTTAGCTTTAGTAGCTTGCACTCGCTAGTTGTGATCGATTCGTAAAGGATCTTAGCAACCGCAAGCAATAAGTGCACGTGCTACTACAGCATGACTCAGAACCTGATGCACTATGCCATGACAGTCCAAATTGCGAGGCAACATAGCTCGGGGTTGTGGGGCAGTAGCCGAAAGAGTCACAGTAGCAGACTACAGCCTTGGACGACTTAAAGGTTCGTACTGGCCACACGTGATAGGCACATGCCGAGCTTTTGGAGAACAAGGCTGCTAAAGTTTCGAAGCCCTGCTGTTGATGATATAAATCCTGCAGTACCTTCAGGACCCTAAACTATGGGAGTTATGGTATTCCTTATTATGGGTACAAAGAAACAGCAAAGCAGGCAGACGGCAATCCGTCAGCAGTTTGGAAGAGGAAGCACCCAGATAACCCAATGCCCCTTAATTAAGGAATATACCTTAAATCCTAATATTGAGGCCCGTATAATTTAAGCTATATTCCTTAATTAATGGGTGTTGGGCTCTCTGGGTGGATGCTTAAAAGCTGGCTAGCGCGATGGGGTGCCGACTTGAACTTCGCCCAGGCGTGTTCCCCGAGACTCTAAAACCATTAATTAAGGAATACACCTTTAATCACATTAAGGATCTTCCTAGGATTTCAGACATAAACCTTAATTAAGGGGTATTGGACTCTACTATAAACTCCTTAACTAAGGGATTTTGGAGTCTCTGGGTTATGAGGAGCCGGGATGCTCCAGAAGAAGGCCTTGGCCAAGAAGTCCAGATTCAAAAATCAGACGGCGAAGCCAGTGGATTTAGGGTTTTGGGTGTTGGGCTTAGGGAGTGTCACGGCAGCATGCCCTCAACCCCAGACCCTAAGCCGCAACCTTAAAGCCCTAAAACCCCAAAGCAGAAAGCCTTAAATCCTAAGACCCACAGGCCCCTAAAACCGTAAGGCCCGACAGACTCGCATGCCCTGAAACCCTAAGGCTAGGTTCCTGAGTAGCACCCTTGTGCCTTTCTTTTGTATGGTTCCCTTGTCAAAAAAAGGAAGAACAGACAACAGAGTACCCTTATTATGAAGGTGTCACGCAGGAACCTTAACCCTAAACCCTAAACCCTAAAACCCTATTATTAAGGCATCACTCAGAAACCTAGAAGGCCCAAAAAACTCCACAAAAACCCGGAAACTCAAAACTAACCCTAAACCCTAAACCCTAAAACCTAAACCCTAAACCCCAAACGTGCCCCAGGCCCGAAAGGTTGCTTCAATCGCTTTCTGTCGTGCTTAGAGTTGGGTGGTCCCTTTTTGGGGTCCTGTTTTTATAAGGGTGCCGTACCAATTTGGGGAGTTGAAACCCTAAACCCTGAACCCTAGACCCGAAACCCTAAGCCCTTAAACCCTAAGCCCTAGACCCTAAATCCTGAACCCCTCTCTCTTTCCCGCCTCCGAACGGCGCCTTGAGGCCACACAGGTTGGGCCATTCGTCTGGAGCCGACGCTTTCTGCTGGGGAAGACGTCGAGATGACGACGATTGCCGACAATGCCACTTTCCAGGGGGTTTAAGGTCTGGGGTTTACGGGGCGTTTAGGGTTTTGGGAGGGCTTTTGAACCCAGCCCCCGAAATCACCCATTACTAGGTCATACTACGTCGACATCCCTCGTGTTGTCGGGAAGAGCAAACGCAGCGAATGTAACTCTCCTAACGGGATCCGATCGCCCCCGCCCAAAACTTATCCCCTATCTACGTCAGGACGTAAAATCTTAGATTACAGCCTGCAGCCGCTGAGCACATTTGGCGTTTTCTGGTTCGCTCACCAGCAGCCACGATGTGTTTCCCACTCCCATGAAACCTAAATCCTGAACCCCAAACCATCGACCCCAAGAAAGAGGTCTGACTATTGGGTAATACTATGTCTCAGGGCTCCTTATCATTACTACTATTGTTGAAGTATTGTTGTTATTGGTCTATGCTAGCTCATGGAGCCCCTGTACTACAAACCCTACAAAAGGCCTTTGAGCTCCCGTGTCGAAGCCTTATAGCCGAAACCTGGCAGGAGCCCTTGTTCTAATCATTAAGGCCCCTAGTACAGAAGCCTAAATAATTACCAATATTATTCCGTAGGGCTCAGAAGACTCCGAAGCGGAGATAGCTGATGCCCCAGTGTCTGTAGACACGCCGAGCCTCAGCCATCGGGAAACACCCGCGCTCTCCCGGCTGGCACAGAAGGCAACGAAAAAAGCGGAGCACGGCAAGGCTCCGCATCCACCGATCGCTGAGATCGGGCATACCCCTGGCGTACAAGGACGCCCAGAGGTTGCTTAGCCACCACAGTTCCCCGGCTATGGGAGGAAAGTCATGGGGAAAAGGCAGCTCAGATGGACAATATGGACAAGCATACTGGCGTGGATCATGGGCAGTTCACAGACCCCAACGGGACAACAAAGGATCCCAGATGGCGTTCCCCTCCTACGACCAGAAGAGAAGAGGCCGCAATACATGGGACACCGCCTACCACGACGACCAGGACACCTCCGCGACCCCGACAATCACCCAGGTGATTCAGACGAGCCTCAATGGCACGCGCAAAGCGGAGCAGCGTGTCATTGCACTACAGAACCAGTCAAAGGAGAGGACCAAGCAATGGACAGAATACCTGGCGGGAATGAAAGCTGCATGGATCAAAGAGAAAGAAAGGTACCAGAAGGAGATGCAACGCCTGGACACCGAGCTTGCCAAGGCGACAGCGAACCAGGACACGGCCCGGCAGCTACTTCTCCAGGCTTTTCATACACCGGAGCCTGCACCGCCGCCAGCAGAGGAGGAGGAATGGGATCAGATGGTGGAGGAGTGGAAGCAAGACGACCGCGACCTCGGCATGGAAGCAGTGATAGCTCGTGCATACCAAGCAGCCAAAGCTGCGGAAGCCATCTCACGAACAAGTACGGCGGCCCGTGGCACAGAGCCGCACAGCTATCAGCCTCCAGCAATGCCCGCAGATCCCTACGGATCCACGACAGGTCCTCCAGGCCTTGCTGCCGCGCCTGGGCCATCGGTCACAAGTGGTATTGCAGCACCTACAGCAGCAGTGGTGCAGACAGCTCCGGAAGGGCCGGGTCCGGGCCTTATACCGTACGACGCTGTTGCTCTCAAAGGGCCATACATGGGCTCCCCGAGCGCACCTGCAGTGCCCAAGCACGGACAGCACGTTACTTCCCCTGGCCCGAGAGAAAGGGCATCAGAAGGGGCCAGGCCAAGTATCAAACAAAAGCCTCCAATGGCCCCGCCTTCTACAGGTGGCATCAAGCTCGAGGACAAGCTCGCAGCCAAACGGATGGCCACCGCCCTTGCTTCCACGATGGAACCCACAACCACAGCCACGTCGGCAGTGATGCCGACACATCCTCATGGCGGCCCAGAGGCAACGACAGGCCCCCCTTCCTTTCTCATCGACGACGACCCTGTCCCCTCCGAGGCCTCGGACAGTGGGCTACAAGATCTATCGTGACCACTCAGCAGTTTTCGCCGGAACGAGCCTCAGACTTTCTGACATTTGGTTGGAACCATGTTAGTGGTTGGGATGACACTATCTACGGATGCGCCCACTTGTCACAATGTCCGACCTCGTCGACATCTGAATGCGGTCTTTCTTTGAGCAGATGGAACAGACGGCCATACAATGCTGGCCTACCTCAGAGGATGTGTCGGCTGAGGAGCCCGGTCGAAGGAGTGTTAATGGGAACACTCCCTCGCGAAGAGCCCCCCGGTCAAGACCTCCCCTGCTGGGACGGCTTAGCAGTGTGTGGCGCGTCTCTTTCGTTTCTCAGCAGTAGTGAACTAGCAGTGAGTGCTGGTCTTTGTGGCAAGCCTAATAAGCATAGGCTGTACAGCTCTCCTCAGTCAAGCCGGGTCCCCGTCCCTCCTCCCCTTTTGTCGGTTCGCGCCTTGACTTCCTTGGGCGGGGCTGAAGGGATAGGACCCTCTTACTTGGAGGACTTCCTGTCCCTTTGCCACGCATTGTCCTCGCGAGAGCAGTTGAGTCTTTGGGTTTTAGACTTCACCTGCTCTCCTCCGCCCTCTGGCTGCATCACCACCTCCTTTCGCTTTTGGCTTAAGGCTATAGGCGAAGGTACAGGCGGGGATCCCCCTCTCCCTGAGGGTTCCCTCTGCATCAGTGCTTTGTTTCCCCCGCTTCCGGATGTGCGATTTGTGACGCTTTCCCGGTTCCATAGGCAGGCCTACCCGATCTCGTGGTTTTTGCCCTCAGGCCCTGCTCCCTCTATCCTTTTCTGCTACATCAGCTCTCTACCAGTGATGTCGAGGTGCCTACCTCTTTCTTCGGTCCGCAGCGCCCTCGTCTGGCTCCAGTGGAGCTGTGTCGGCCCTTTTTACGCATGCCTTTATGGCCAGGGTCCCGTTGGCCATAGAATTTTGCCGTGCCAGGACAGGAAGGGAGCGTCTAACACTGACATCGGTGACTCTGGGGTCAGGGCCCCTTCCTGTTTCTCTTCACAGGCCAATCTGCCCTTTTGGTTTAGGCCCCTCACTGTTTCGTTGCCGGTTGCTTTCGTAGGGGGTGTTAAGGTTTTTAAAGGATACCGCACTGCCCTAGCCAGACTTCTGTCTTCGAGCCCTCGTGTAGTCGGGTCTGGCCCAGGTGGGGCCAAGGATGAGGCTTTGGATTTTTGTGGGGGAGCTCTGCCCTTGGGCTTGATAACTTCAATCCCTTCCTGCACCACCCCCTCCTTGCCAGAGCTGTCGAGGTGCCCTCCGATCTCCCTGGTCTGCAGCATTTATGTTTGCGCTCAGTGGAGCTGCGATGGCCTTCGCTGCACCTGCCTTCAAGATGCAGGCCCTATAGACACTGCAAATCCACCGAGCCAGGACGGGAAGGGAGCGTCTAACACAGACATCGGTGACTCTGGGGTCTGGGCCCCTTCCTGTGCCTCCTCGTCCAACAAGCCAGCCCAAGGTCACAGCATTCTTAGGGGGAGCCCCATTGTCCGGGCCGAGACCCGTCTTTGTACCTTCCCGCGTGCGCCAAACATGCGAATCGGTGGCTCAGGGTCGCAGGCCGCGGGAAGGGAACATTACAGGCAAGAAACTCTGGGTTGGCTCGCCTCCCATGCAAGCTTTACCCTTCTGAGTATTCTGGCTATTCTGCAGATTGCCCTATGTCGGCTCCTCCTGTATCAGCTAGGTTTTCAGCGATCCCCATTGGGCAAGCTGTGTCTACGCAGAGCTTTCATGCCCTGCATGTGCGTGGCCATCCCGGTAGGCAGGATTGGAGCTGCCGCACCAGTTCTAGCTTGGGGTACCTCCGCCTCCAAGGTGCGACGCCGCAAACCCACCTGGATTAAAGGTTGGTTCTTAGGGCCCTTTCTTTGGTTGCTTGCGTTTGCTAGCCTTCCCCAGCAAGTGTTCGCGGCACCCCCAGGTCTGATCACCGCCATTGCCAGGGCCGATCGGATTATCGCAGGGCTCCCTGAGCCGTTGGACAGGACCGCGTCAACTCATAGTGGCAGTGTAGACTCAGAGCCCGACAATCAAGTCTACCTTCTACCGACGTCCTATGACACGGTGCCTTTGCCACTGCCCCGAGGTCAGGTGGTTGAGGATCAAGATAGCACATGGCTAGGTGTAGAGGTGTATGCACCAGGCTATCGCACAGTGGTGTTTGGCCTGAACCTCGGGCCCTGCCCGACTCTTGTGGCCACCATGCGTCGGACAACCCGCCATTATGCCACATTCCACTCTCATCTTGCAGGCTTGGCACCGTTGCGGCCGCAAAGGTATGGAGGCACAGCAATGTTTGTGGCGTATCCCACCAGCCTGGATCAACGCTACCGAAAGGCCGTGATGCTCGACTTGTCGCGGGTCCACGGACACTACTGTGCCGAAGTACTCCCCAGCCCTTGCAGCTGGGAAGCCTTGAACCGAACAGTCGCTGATCATATCGGGGGAGATCCATCTGATTGGGACTTCTGGGTAGGCCCTCAGCTCCAGAAGAGCCAACCAAGAGTGAGCTTTGAGCTGAACCATGGTGACGTCATTGTGGTACTCCCACCAGACAGCATACCCGACTCTCCCATTCCCATCACCAGGCTCTTCGCAGAAGACAAAGCATGGACCCCCCTCCATCATGTGTTCACCACAAGTCTGCGGCCTGGTCTTGCAGTGCATCTGCACGGGTCGCTTAGGCCGTTTGCAGCACGACATCTCGATGGATGTCACGTCCCCAGCCGCTTGAGCCATTTACTTGGTGCTCCTGAGCGCGACCTATATCTCCGGACACTGGCCGGGTTCTCTGATTTAGAGGTCCAAGGCGAGCCATGTCATTGCGTGGTCGTTGCTGCTTCGCAGGAAGCCCTTCAGGCAAAATTTGAAGAGACTCCCTTTGCCTTTGTCTTTGATGCGCGACCCATCGGGGCAGGCATACAGGTCAGGTTCACCACCGCCACCGACCACAGCGCTGCACAGCTGGCTAGCTGCCTACAAGTCCCGGAGGCCTGTACACAGTGCCTCGCCTTCAAGGTCGTCACTG